TGTGTGTGTGTGTGTGTGTGTGTGTGTGTGTGTGTGTGTGTGTGTGTCCGCAGAGGCTATAAACGGTGCTTGGAACCTTTGGAAGTGCAGTTACAGACAGTGGGTGCTGCCACGGGTATAGGGGATGAAAACTAGGCAGCTACTGCTCTTAACCGCTGAGATCTCTCTCCATCTCTGTAATAGCTTCTTAATTACATGTAGAAATTTCATTTTAGTTTGCTCAGGTAACCGAAATGCCCTCAAGTCTACTGGGCCCCCGGGGAGAGGTCTCTTTTTAAGCAGGCACTTACTTCTGAGTGGCCTCCATCTCTAGCAGGGCAGACAGAGCAGAGGTTCCTTTCTTCCCAACTGGCGGGCCTGCGGACTCGAGGGAGTGTGCAGAGATGGGTCCAGTCATCTGCAAGCCTTTCATGGTGGTCCCTTTCTACAGCATGGAAGAAGGGACAGCCTGTTAGCCCAGGCTCTGAGATGGCACTCACAGCTCAGCTCCCCCTGCTGCATCTTTGAACCCTGGGGACCTAATGAGCCCAGTGGAGGAATACAAAGTTCTGTGTACTAAGCCAACTATAGAAGAAACTGAAGCTCAGAGGGGTTGGTTAATCAAGTAACTCCAAATCCCACTGGATCTGGAATTCAAACTAAAGACGACTATTTTCAAAGCTAAAGCTCTTCTCACATAAGCATTGTAAATGTTTCCGTTCACAAGCAATTTTGTGCATGGAAGGTAGCTGGTGTGGGAAAAGGAGCCTGAGGTTAGAAATAGGGCTGAGGAAGGAACACCATTACAAGATTAAAAGAAATGAATTACTAATAAAAAACTTGGATAAATCCCAAAGCACAATGCTGTGTAAAAGAAGCAAACCTCAAATGGTTTTATATTATGTGATAACATTTCTAAAACATTTAGAAAAGACTAGTGGTTGCTAGGAGATAGAGATGGGAAGAATATGACTGCAAAGGGCAGCGGAAGCTTTCTTTGTTTTTCCTTTCAGTTCTGGGGATCAAATTCAGTCTCTCAAATGCCAGGCAAGCGGTCTACCTGAGGAACCATTTACTTTAATGGTGGGGTTTGGCAACATGAATTCCTGTATTTTTTTTATGTATGTGTACACAAGCAGGCACAAATGCACACGCACACACATACACACACACAGATGAGAGAGAGAGACAGAGGCAGAGTCAATTACACTCTATGTTAATTTAAGCAAAACAACACTGAATCATGTATCTGCCTGTTATTGACTGGGTGGCCTCAAGTATATCATAACTTTCATAAGCCTCAGTTTCTCTACTGAGTGGCAAACTCTAAAAGGAAGGTCTGCTGCTGTTAACCTCTTAAGAGCTTTCACTCAGCAATTCGGGGCCACATAACATGGCAGCTGTGCCCAACAGTTGGTCCCACTTGGGGAACACACATATGTGCTATGTCCTCAGCCAGAAGGGGCAGCTCAAGCCATAAAGCAATGTGCAGTCACTGCTGGTACCCATCTCCTCTCTCTCATCCTACAGCAGGTAGGAACACACTGACCAGAATTTTAGACACATGAGGAGTAGTGGTGGGCTAAATCGCCTGGCTGATGAGAGGCCACTGAGACAGGAGGAGGGAGAGCCTGCACCCCAGGAGCTCTAAGAACGCTTACCCGGATCATGCGGTCTGAGCGATGGCGTCTTCGGATGCGATTTAAGCCCTCTACAAAGCGGATAAAGCCATCAAGGAGCTGCCACTCATCTTCATCTGCACGGGGTTTGTCCCCATAGATGTCACAGTGCACCTCCCCCTCTGTGATGCGCTTGGTGGCAGTGACACAGGCTGGCAGTAGTAGGAATCGGGTTCTCCAGAACTTCAGAGACTCAATTAAACTACAGAGTCAAGGATAGCAGAATGGTGGTGAGAAAAATAGATAATAAAAGCCTTCCCGGAGAGCTCTCTGAAGCTGATGTGAGACAGTCCTGTTTTGCTGCCCCAAATGACTTTGCTTAAGACATTAGGCACAAGATCACAGGAAAGACCACAAGGTGGCTTCTCCTTTAACCCCAGAGCCATGACAATGACCTTGTGAACCCAGACCCAGTGAAGCAGCTGTCCACCATCAATTGCAAAGCAGACAGAAAAGTTAAAACATTGTTAAATGAGACACTACAACCACAGGATACTAGACAGCGAGAGAGTAAAATCCTGAAAGCACATGGTAACACGAACCCTTACATCTGCTAAAAATGTATAGACCTATACACAAGCACACATGTGAATATACCCACAGACAGATAATTATACTATTTATTAATGCAAAAAAGATAATGCTGAATCGTAGATGTGGACTCAGGCACATCCTGCAATCTCTATGCACCTAAATTCCTCCACTGAGTTTATATTCTGTCGTGACACTTGCACCAAAGGACACACTGTGACAGTTCTGCTCTGTTTTTCCAGCTGCAATAAAATATACATGATAAAATATATCACTTTAACCCATTTTAAGTGTGTATGTCAATGGCATTGAGTACATTCACACTGTTATATAACTATCACCTCTAGCCACACAGAGTATGGCACATGCAGGTACACTCTGTTCTTCCACTTCTAGGGAAAACAAAACAGACATCAGACAAAAGGACAGATATGTTAAAAGATACACATATACCCAAAGCAACAAGGATGGAAAGTTAAAGCACCTCTCTAACCTGAAATCTTCAGAGCCGGCAGAACAAATATACTGATCTAAGTAATTCCACTTGTATTCCTCTAGCCTTTCATGGCAGAATTCCACCCAACAAGAGACAAACTCTGAGTCTGAGTGGGAAGGGCAGAGGCTGTAGGTGTAATGGATCTGGGCAGATTCATAAGGGTACCTGAAAAACAAAGGATATACCTGCATCTTTAAATGCACTCTGTACCCACCACCACCACCACCCTTCTTCCATCTAAGCGCACGCTGGGCTCAGTCCCCAAAGACAGAAATCAGCTCATCCTAGGAAACTATAGCATCTTCTTCAACTTTTCATTCTTTTCTTACATTCATCTTTTTTAGTATGCTTGATATGAATCATGCTAAGCTTTATAAACTGAATCAGGGGCTAGAGAGATGGCTGAGGGGTTAAGAGCATTGGTTGTTCTTCCAGGAGACCCAGGTTCAATTCCCAGCACCCACATGGCAGCTCACAACTGTCTGTAACTCCAGTTCCAGGGAATCTGACACCCTCCCACACACACTCAAGCAAGAAGAACACCAATGCATATAAAATAAAAATAAATAAATTATTTTTAAAAACTGAATCAGTTACCTTTTGGAAGTAGTAAACTATAAACCTAAAATTACTTTAAAGCAAAGCCAAAAGATAAACAAGAAAGAGGACCTGGGGTAAGATGCTCAATCCTCACTTAGAAAGACAAATGGGATGGACATTGGAAGTAGGAGAAAACAAGTAACAGGACAGGAGCCTACCGCAGGGGGCCTCTGAAAGACTCTACCTAGCAGTGTATCAAAGCAGATGCTGAGACTCATAACCAAACCTTTGGCAGAGTGCAGGGAATCATATGAAAGAAGGGGGAGTTAGTATGACCTGGAGAGGACAGGAGCTCCACAAGGACCAAATATATCAGGGCACAGGGCTCTTTTCTGAGACCGTTTCTCCAACCAAGGACCATGTACGGATATAACATAGAACCCCTGCTTGGATGTAGCCCATGGAAGCTCAGTATCCAAATGGGTTCCCTAGTAAGGGGAACAGGGACTATTTCTGACATGAACTCAATGGCTGGCTCTTTGACCTGCCCCCTGCCAGGGAGGAAGAGCCTTGCTAGGCCACAGAGAAGGACATTGCAGCCAGTCCTGAAGAAACCTGATAACCTAGGATCAGATGGAAGGGGAGGAGGACCTCCCCTATCAGTGGACTTGGAAAGGGGCAGGGAGGAAATAAGGAAGAGAGGGTGGGTTTGGGAGTGAGTGAGGGAGGGGGCTATGGCTGGGATACAAAGTAAATAACCTGTGATTAATATAAAAAAATAAAATTTATAAAAAAAAGCAAAGCCAAAAACTCTTAACAGAATCATTCAATTTCTTATTCACATAGTTTTACACACATAATGTAGTGTGTAGACAAAATTCACGTTGGCCACCCAAAACCGTGAGCATCCTAGGACTCACTTGGGAAGATACCGTGTCACCGTGATCATCTTGTCCTTGAGCGTCACCTTATGGAAAGTTCTGCCCATACTCAGCCAATACTGGCCCTCCTCCTCAGGGCGGTTTCGGGACACAAGGCCTAGCAGAAAAAATAATTGCTTTTGATCCACAAAGATAAAGAAAAAGAGAAACAATGTTCTGAGAGGCTGTTCACAGAGGAATTATTCTTGGCTAAAAAACCAAAATTCTAGAAACTGTGAGATTTTCCTCTTCTTAAGCTAACTTACTGCAAATGATGGTAGAAGGTGGTGGCAGCACCTGGATGCCACACTCCAACCCTGACGCCCAGTCCTCTGGAGTAAACATTAACAGATTTGGGGATATGAGCAGAACTGAAATGAAACTCCGCTCCACCCAAGCACAACAGAGCCTCCAGGCCTGTGCTCCAACTCCTCCCAAGGCTCCTCCCAGCTTCAGTATAAAAGGAGCACTGATTTATTTATGTGGGTTTTGCCTGGACACTGCATCTGCCAGTCCTGCTGAGCCAGTGACTGAAATCTTATGGATTAAAAAAAAAAGTTGTTTACATTTATTATTTTTGTGTGTATATGTGCATAAGCACAAGAACATATGCATACTATAGCACACATGTGTGAGAAGTCAGGAGACAATTTACATGATCAGTTCTCTTTTATGTGTGAGTTCTAGGGATCAAACTCAGGTTATCAGGCTTAGCAATAAGTGCCCCTACCTGCTGAGGCATCTTTGCAGCCCATCTTATAGGTTATTTGGTATCACCACCAAAGGTAACTTCCTGGGCAAAGCTGTCAGACCTCAACAGTCATGTGAATATCTTATATGTAGCTCCTTAGGTGTGTATCTTTCTAAATATAAACCCTAATAAAAAGTTTCAAGGATCCAGGCACAGCAGTGCATATCTATGGCTCCAGCAGCACAGGACACTAAGACAGGCAGATTGTTTGAGTCTAGAAGATTGAGGTCAGACTGGGAAGCAGAGTGAATCCTTGTCTCAAGAAGAAATTAAATTAAAATTCAAAATAAAGTTCCAAGAGGCCAAAGCTATATATTGTTTATCTTTATATTTTCAATTAGCTCCTGTTGAAAGTGCCATGCCTGATGGGGCATAATGGTACACACCATTAGTCCCAGAACTTGGGGAGGCAGAGGCAGAGGCAGAGGCAGAGGCAGAGGCAGAGGCAGGCAGAGCGTTGTGAGTTCAAGGCCAACCTGGTCTATAAAGCAAGTCAAGGACAGCCAAGGCTACACAGAGAAATCCTGTCTCAAAAAAACAAAACAACAACAACAAAAAAAGTACCATGCCCAGAGTAGGTGTTCAAAAACTTAGTTTAACTGATTTAAACACAGCAGAGTGGGAATATCAAGGAATCCAGAAAATATGACATGTGTTCAAGAGCAAACCCTGTGACATAAAGAACAGCAAAGCCAGCCAGGTGGCACACACCTTTAATTCCAGCACTTAAGAAGTAGAGGCAGGTGGATCTCTGTGAGTTCGAGGCCAACGTGGTCTACAAAGCAAGTTCTAGGACAGCCATGGCTAAGAGAAACCCTTTCTCAAAAAACAAAACACCAAAAAACCCAAACCAAACAACCAAACAAAAATGAAGCCTCGGTGAAATCCTCATGACCGGCTCTCTCTTGTTCAGCTCAGAGAGGTGGTCACTCGGTGGCAGATAGCGTGTAAAAGAGAGGACAGAAGAGAGGACTGTGAATATGCTCATTTCAAATCTCTCCAAGTCTTGCTTTCTGTAACTAGAGAGGGGTATGCCCTATGAGGCACTCCTTCATTTCTGCTATGAACAACCCGCTGGATGTCAAGAAGTGTCAAGGCATTCCCCAACACCTCATTCTAAACTAGGCGTACCCCAGTGATCAAACATGTACTTGCAGTTACGTTAATGTGTGCCTCCTCAGTGGACAGTTAACTCCTAGAGTTTGATGGAGAAAGTCCTATCTTACCTTTGCAATCAATAAATGTGAAACAAGGGACCAGCATGAGATGGCTAAGAAAGCAAATTTCCAATAACATCAGCAACAGGGCACCAGCAGTTCTTACTACCAGGGAAATAAAGAGTTGTTTCCTCTGACAACTAGCCATGAAGAAAGAATAAGGCTCATGAGTCAGTCAGGGCCAGCACTGGACACTAGAATTACACACTCACAAGGGACAGTCACCATCCATCCAGCAGAGACTGAGCAGGCTAGATGTAGCCAGTGACATCTAAAGGTACTATTCCTTGCGTTGAAGAACTAAACTTTTCCTGCAGCCTTTTGAGACCTAACATCTCTGGTTACGTCTCCAGCTCCCACTAACACTAGCTTTCTTTTTGGTGTGCAAAAATTATCACATTGTCTCTTGCTACAAGGCTTTTGCACACACTGATCCTTCTGCCTGCATGTTCTTCCCTTCAACTTGTCTAGCAGTTGGGAGATCAAGAGTTCAAGGCCAATTTGGATTATATAAACCCTGGCTTTAAAAAAAAAAAAAAGCAACATGCAAGAAATGTCAAAAGGAGCTTTCTAAGAAAGTATAGAAGAGACACACAACTTCATCTACGAGGCCAGCACTAGCTGACAACTAAGTCCACACAACAGTTCCATACTTCTTTAATTTTCCGGCCAGAGTAGCTTTACTAGAACCAACAATCATCTGAAGTTTTACACTGGCTGATTAGGGAAGTAGAGGCTTCAGTGGCAAAAATGAAGAAGCCAGAGACCAATACAGCTCACAGATTATTTCAGGAAATGATTATTGCTTTCCAGTTCCAGGCACCCACACTTAATTCCCTGTTACACTTATCTTAGACAAGTTCTCCACACCTTGGCTCTTCCTCAATTAGTGTCACTTACTAATCTTTGCCACTAATGGGTGACTCATTCTTAAACGAGGTCATTAAGTTTGAGTGGTTAAGAAGAAAGATGAACACAGATTAAGGAAAAAAAACACGTACAATGTAGGGCTGAGGTGGTAGCTTTGTGGTAGCCCTTGTCTATTATGAGTGAGGTCCTGGGTTTGACCCCAGCGCCAGAAAAAGAGAACAAAAACACACATAAAAATGTAAATTTAGTAGGCTAGAGCGATAGCTCAGTAGTTAATACTGAGCACATACAACTCTTCCAAAAGACCTCCATTTGGTTCCCAGCACTCATGCCAGGCCTCTTACAATTACTTGTATAACTCTCTAACTCTGGGGGACTTTTTTTTTTATGTCCCTCTCTAGCCATTGTGGACTTTGTCACTCCCATATACATTAAAAATCAAACAAACTGTAAACTTAGATTTAGGCACCATCTGAGAACCTGTTGTGTAACAGGTAGGTATATCACTGGAAACAAACACCCACTTCAAGGTTTAGAGCATTCGATATATACTTGACAACTCAGTATTAGTTTGGCTGTCTTGCTACTATTAGTTGTCTAAACCAAACTATATCATTCCTAAAATTAATCATATCCTCTTTCTTAAAAAGAGAATTATATGGCCAGTCATAAAGGTGCATACCTTGGGTTTGAGGCAAGCCTGCCTGGTCTACATAGTGACTTACAGGCCAGCTAGAGCTACACAGTATAACTCTGTCTCAAAAAGGAGAAAGAGAAGGGGGGAGGGGAGGGAAAGAGGAAGGCAGGGAGAAAGAGAAAGAGAGATTAAAAAGAGTAAGGTTGCCAGGTAGTGGTGGTTGTGCACGCCTTTAATCCCAGCACTTGGGAAGCAGAGACAGGCAGAGCCTTGTAAGTATGAAAACAGCCTGGTCTAGACATCGAATTCCAGAACAGCTAGGGCTATAGAAAAACCCTCTCTCAAAAAGAAAAATGAGGTTTTTAAAAGATATTATTGTATTTTTATTTATATGAATGTTTGCCTGAATGTATTGATGGGCGAGCCTAATTCCATCTTAAGGATGGAAGCCATTCTGTTACAAGCCCAGAACAAGTTCATTTCTGTTTGGTTCAAAATTTAAGTCAGTGCTTTAAAGACAGTGCTTTAACCCGTTCCTAGAATTTGACATGCTCTCCACCCTGTGAAGTTTGACTCATACCTTGAATGGACTCTCATAAGATGTTCTACCAAATAATTTGGAAATGTTTAGCCAAGTTCCTAAATAATCAAAATTCCTCTGGAAATCCCTCAACCCTTGAAAAACACCTAGTTTTGCAGTTTGGGGGACTATATAAACCCTACCTCCTCCTTTGTTTGATGTTTTTCCAACTCTGCTTTAGGAAGACAGCCCTATCAGACAGAAAATAAAGCTTGCTTAATTTGAACAATGAGTTTGGTCTTCACTGGGATCAACAGTGTATGTAGTACTGGGAGTAAGCTACCGTGTAAGAGCTAGGACCCAGGGGAGCCAGTGCCCTTAGGCACTGAGTCATCTCTGTTGCTCCTACAGTAGGTTGTTTGGATGTGTTGTTGTTTTTCTTGTTTGTTTGTTTTAAATAGGGCAGTACTTTGTAGCCAAGAGCTACTAAGTACTAGGATTATAGGTTTGGGCCACCAAGCCCGGTTTAAGTGGTTTTCCTTACCATTGTTGTTTCTTTGTGTGTGGGTGCCAGTAATGGAACCCAGGGCCTAATACATGCCAGACAGGCACTCTATGCCTGAGCTGTACCACCCTCCAAAGGATTAGTACCTGTGCTAGCTGGTTTTTATGTCAACTTAACACAGGCACAATCATCAGAGACAAGGGAGCCTAAAGTGAGAAAATACCTCCATAAGCTCTGACTGTAAACAAGCTTATTAAGCATTTTCTTAATTTGTGATTGATGGGGGAGGGCCCAGCCCATTGTGGGTGTGCTACCCTTGGGCTGGTGGTCTTGTGTTCTATAAAAAAGCAGGCTGAGCAAGCCAGTAAGCAGCACCCCTCCAGGACCTCTGCATCAGAACCTGTCTTCACACTCCTCCTGCCTTGTGTGAATCTCTGTCCTGACTTCCTTCAGTGATGAACAGTGATATGAAAATATAAGCCAAAAATACCATTTCCTCCCCAAGTTGCTTTAGTCATAGTGTTTCATGACAGCAACATTAACCCTCACTAAGACAATAACCTAACAAAAGAAAACCTACTCTCAGGATTTAGTAAAAAAAAATACAATTTAAGGAGAATCACTTACCTCTGCTATAGAGTGGGCTACTGCTCAGTGGAGGTGGGACTGTGGTGTTGGGTTTCTGCGCCTTCGGCTGTACTATGATTTGGTAGCCCTGCATGAGACGCTGGCAAATGAACTCTTCAAACACTTGCTGGGCTGTCATTTGAACACCCTCCTCATCCCTCCTGGAAAAGAAGTGACTGAGTGTGTGGAGATGCTGACCTTGGACAGTGACAACTTAACAGTCACCATGTCTCTTTTCTTTTGTTTCATCCCAGATTATCATTCTATCCAGCTAACAAAATCCATCACCTGTATACCAGCTTTAGGAGAAATGATCAGTTCAACAAGATAGAAACAGAAGGCAGAAAAAAGAATAACGTTAGAAAAAGGAAGGAAGGAAGGAAGGAAGGAAGGAAGGAAGGAAGGAAGGAGAGAGAGAAAGAAAGAAGAGAAGAGAAGAGAAGAGAAGAGAAGAGAAAAGAAAAGAAAAGAAAAGAAAAGAAAAGAAAAGAAAAGAAAAGAAAAGAAAAGAAAAAAGAAAAGAAAATCAGAGCCAGGCACCACCACTTTTAATCTCAGCACTCGGGAGGCAGAGACAGGCAATCTTTGTTGAGTCTGAGGCCAGCCTGGTCTACAAAGTGATTTCTAGGACAGGCAGGGCTCTGTTACATAGAGAAACCCTGTCTTGGAAAACAAAAGACAAACAAACAAGCAAATAAAGTCAGATGTAGTGTGCCCAAAATAATTACATTAGCAAATACGTTATCAATGAAGACAAACTGTTGATGTCAACAAAACTCTAGAGAAACTAACAATTCTACCAAATTTCCCAAATTCTAAAGGAGGACATGAAAGTTCAGTGTTCTTCTTTCTATACATGTGTTCCAATATACCTATAACCCTCAAAAACAAAGCTGACCGCTGTTTTCTTGGGCACTGACCTGTCCATGTCTGCTTCTGGGAGGAGATCATAGCAGCCCTCTGTGTAGTCATTCTGCAGGCCCTGACGATCCGGGAAGTAGTCAGTGGTGAGGGGGAGGCATGCAGGAGTAGTGAGGGACTTCCAATCCACTCCAACTGTGCAACAGAAGCCTGGCACTACAGGGGGAGCAGACAGTGTCAGAACTGCCTCGCATAACGGGGAAAGGTATATGTGGTCACCATGGCAGGTTTGGGATATGGAAGGAAGGGAGACGGTGGGGTGAAGTTCATGGTAAAAGGTGATAGAAATTTCCAGGATAGAGGGAGCAGAGGGAAGGGCATGGGGGAGGGAGAAAGAGAGAGAAACAGAGTTTGTTAGATAATGCAACACATGCTTATCCAATCCCATCATGCAAATGGGATTCTCAGCTGCTATTTTTTTTTTTTTTTCATTTTCTGCTGATCATAAGCTATAGCTGAAATGCCAGGGAGGTTACTGCAGGGCAGACAGGATTATATATCAAAGCGAATTAACATTCTGAGTGCAGAAGAGAAGCTCAGGCCAGAGCGTCTCCTTTCGAGGACTGCAGAGCATCTGGGTAGGAAAGGAAGGAAGCTCAGCCTAATTATGAGCACATAGCATACAGCAGCAGAAACAGGAACACTTTCAGAATCACAAGTAATAGATTCAGAAGGATAGGAGGGCAAACCAAAGAAGAATGTCTGGGACAGTAACAAGGCTGCAAGTTTGGAGACATGAGTTTGACGCCTGCTCCTTGGATAAAGCAGGTTTTCAACAGTGATAACTAACTCCTGACATTTCGGACCAGACAAGCCTGTTACAGGTAGCTGTGCTGGGCACTGAGAGAGACTGAGGAATAACACTGGACTCTGCTCACAAGATGGCAGTGGTGCACTTTACTATGCAGACCAAAAATGACTACAGAGAATGCCAAGTCTGCTTGGGTTCAAGACCACGGAGTTAAAGCACAAAGGCAGCACTATGTGGTTCGTTCCAGTAGACTCACACACCTGGGGCTCGGTCCCAGTGTGAAAATATGAGAGCCATGGATTCTCTAACAGGTAATACCTAGAGGGAAGTCCCTGCAGCTGTGTCCTCAGGAAGGGCAGGGTGGCTGTCCTGGAACCTGAGGAGACAGCTCGTGGTAGCCCTTGCCCCAGTCGATGCTCTGGTTTCCATTTTCTGCATGGGATCTCCCTGACTATTTCTCATCATGACGCTACCCATCACTATAAGATGCAGTTAGTGAGCTCTTCCCAGAGCCAGCACCACAATAATCAATCACTCTCCCCCTCCCTCTTCCCCCACCTCGTGCATCCCAGGTTAGCCTTGAACTTGTAAAACTTCTTCCTTAGCTTCCAGAAGGCTGGGAATACAATATGCACTATACACTGGGCTTTAAACTACTTTTTAAAATAATTCCCCATCAGGTATTTCATTGAAATGATGAAAATATCTGTCTCTGTAACTAAAACTGACTCTAAGATCTTTCAAGTGCAGACTGTTATTTTTAATCTGTAAAGGGAAACTAATAACAAGGAAAGACTCCAAGGAAAGACCTTTGAGTACTGAGTGGGATACTTGTACACTATATATTGTAAATACACGTGTATGAGCAGTAACAAGCTTACAGCACAATGTAACATCTGTGGCTTTGTCAGCCTCACATCACCCTCATATGGGTGAAAAAGTCTTGTGTGCTAAGTAGGGGGACAGAGTGCTTCATGCAGCACCACTGACTTGGGGATGACTATACTAGACATAGGCCTAACTCCATCTCAACGCAGGGCTTACAGAGTCATTAGTACCTTGGAATTCAAAATGTATCTCCAAACAGCTGAAGTTGCACCCTGACTTGCCTACATAGCAGATAAGAAGCTGAAGTTATCCCTACTTTCTAGACAAAACCAGGAGCCCTAAACAAGTCACAGTGAAGAGATCGGAAACGGAAGGCAGTTTCCTCTTTATGTCGTCTTAAACAATGCTAGCCCTCATGACCTTTCTGACTCTCATACCAGTGATTTCTGCTGGGCATGATAGCGTATGCCTGTAGTCCCAGCACTGGGAAAGCAGAGACAGGAGGATTACTACAAGTTCACAACCAGCCTGGGCTACATAGAGAAACCCTGTCTTTAAAAACAAAACCTGGCAACTATCCAAATGGTTACTGATAAAAATAATTACTAAAACCCAGATATAATCATATGTTCGAGATATGATTAAAAATAACTTCACACATTTTCTGGCTCTTTTGTTTTGCAAATGTCTCACTCTGGTGGCCCTGGCTGGCCTGGGCCTCCTACTTATGCCAGGTGGCCCAAGAATTACCACACTTAGCTTAATAAAATTTAAAAAAGAAAAGAAAAGAAAAACTTCTGAGGCTGGCAAGATGGTATGATAGGTAAAGACTCTTGCCGCCAAGCCTGATAACATGATCCCGTGGGAGAGAGCCAACTCCCATGGGCTGTCCTCCTGCCCCCACGCGCATACGCTAGCTATGGCATGTGTGTGCCATCACACAAATACATAAAATAAATATTTTTAACTTTTAAAAAAGAAGTAACAGGAGCATGAAAAATAGTATAAGGCTTAAGTTATTCATCAGTGGAGACCAAAAGACTCGGTGTTACGCATCCACAGCCAGAACTGGTAGAGTTGTTTCCCTGATACTATACTAGTAAAGATGTTCTCCAACTGCTCAGCTATTTAAATAGACAAATGTGATCAAAGCAAATGTTAGCTAGCCAAGTATTTTCAACTACAGCCCATTTTTTCTGACCTTTTTTTTCCTGAGCCAGTATTAGGCCTAAGAGCTGAGATTGGCTTCTGCCTGGCATGGGGGTCTTTGTGGGAGGTCTACACTTCCCCACGTATCCTGGCTCACACACTCTGGAGCAGGTCACTTGGCCACTTGGCATCAGAGGGACTCAAGAGTCCCTCACTACTGCACCTTCCTACAACATCCCCGTGGCTTTCTGGACTGTGCTCTTCCCGAAGGGCTTCCTCGTGCCCTCACTACCCACACTCCAATTGCCTGCCTCCTACTAGTCAGCTGTGCCCTCTTACTTGGGTCTGGAGAGGTAGAAACACCGTCCTCTAGAGAATCCTTATTTTGGGTCCTAGGATTCAAACCTACAAAAAGAAAAAAGTGGCTTGTTTGAATTAAAAGTTACTCTACAAAAAAATTCTGACAATTACGGTTGAAAAAGTTCAAAAAGAAAGCTAAAAGTACAAACACAAACCAAGTACCAATTCTGAACTGGAGAATTTAAACTGCACAGAAGAATCAACCAAAGAAAAATATGAACAACCTAAAATTTGGTAATGAACCAGAATTTCAATGTTATCAATACCATTCTTTTTATCTGATAAGTTTTCTTCAAAACCAACTGTTACTTATTTTTAAAAAAACTGAAACATTCTAAAGTCATTTCAACCAATTAATTTTTAGCAAGCCATAAAATAACCTAACTACATTTTGTACACTTGTTTAACCTTACCTTCTATAACTCTTTCCCAAATCATAGCTTTTAAGAATGTAACGTAAGGAGCTGGAGCGATGGCTCAGTGGTTAAGAGCACTGGCTGCTCTTCCAGAGGACCCGGCTTCGATTCCCAGCAACCACATGGCCATCTGTAACTCCAGTTACAGGGGGATCTGACACTCTCACATAGACATATATGAAGGCAAAATACCAATGCATATAAAATAAAAATAAATAAATCTTAAAAGAAGAATGGAACATAAGACATCAAATTTCTATGTAGATATAATTAGTCTGAAAAGATTTAAAATGAAACTTGAATATGAAATGACAGAGGTATCTAAAAAAAAAACAAACACATAAGACTAAACATCACTTAGAAAACATAAG